GGGACATATAACTTCTGTGCAGATGGGATGTGTGAGATGAGTTCGGGAATGTGCTGTGGTGTCCATCTGCAGCGGTATCATTTCCCTGGATACGCCTGGAGGCCCAGGTGTGAAAAGATGGGAAAGGGTGTGTGGACTCAGCTATGTTTAGAGCTGTTTGTCTACAGGAGAAAACTGCTGCAGCCAGACAGTGTCCCCAGACGGATGACTGTACCCAGACAGTGACGTCTGGGCAGACAGGAAAGATAGCCTGACAGATATACAGCACAACCCTGAGTCAGGTGAGAGATCACAACGAAGCAGAAAGGCTTGCAGGTGAAGTGAGGGGAAGGCTGAGGTCACTGCCACATTGGAGTCAGTTAGGGTGTTGAGAAATCCTGGGTATTTTGTTTTGTGAGTATAGATAATGTGCCCTGAGCTCTAAGGCTTACTGTTCCATGAAAAAGGAGATGCAGAAGTTTGGCTAACAGGTTAGCATGTAAAAGCAGGGCATCTTTTATCTGTATTTCCTTGGATGTTATTAAAGTATTTCTGGAAGTCAAGAGATTGACAATATTAGTTGACTCTGAGGAAGGGGCCAGGAGCAAGGGAGACATCACATTATTCTCTTACTGGCCTGGAAGTGTAAACTGTGGGCTTGTGATCACCACTTCCCAAATATAGAAAGAAAATCTAACAGAGAAGAAGGAAAAAGCAAGTAGATGTGATATAATGAACAGAAAGAATAGAAATGGAGGCATTCATGCTGAAGCATATATATTACGTATTTATATGAACAAATGCTAGATGGTAAGAGAAGAAAGCCCAACTTGGTTTAAAAACGTGGGAGAAAATGTTCAAGAAGAAGGCAGTTTTTTTTTTTTTTTAAAGATTTATTTATTTGTGCATACAGAACTGAGGTACAGGCCAGAGGTGAGAGGCTTCACCAGAGACAGAGTGGGGAGCAGAACAGGCAGATCTAGGAAGTACACTGCTGAGGGGAGCAGAGGGCGGGTCCGGAGAGGTCTGCCGGGCCATGTGGGTCACCTCCAGGGTGGGGGATTGAACTCACGCTGAAGCACTTTAGCTTCTCAGTGCTGTGCTTTAACCCACTGCACCACCAGGGAGGGCCCAGAAGGCAGTTTTTAAAATGGAGAAACAGATCCATGGACACTGCATACTGGCTCGCACTCACTGGCTAAGCCCTCGCCGCACGCCTGATGCCAAACAGAGGCCTCAGAAGCAGACACCAGCCCTGCCCGCTGCTCCGTCCCTGTGTGCTTGACTCCTCCGCCCTCAGACGGCGCCCCCTGGCGGAGTCCGTGGGCCTGGTATATGAAAGCAGGTTTCTCATAACATGTTTGTGCTCGGCCATCACCCTCCTGCTGTGTACTCCACCTAGCCGGATGCCCGGGTGCTGTGCTCATTGGTGCCACCAAGTGCGACGATTGTCATTGTCCATTGGAAAGGCGGGAGAGCACCGGTGATACCTTAAGGGGCAGTGAGAGGTGCAGCTGGTTACGTGCACATGTGTGTACACACATGCAAACACATGCAAACAAACACATGCCACATGTGAGACCTGGGGTCTCTTGATGTCTCAGAATCCCCAGCCACGTGTCTTCTCACAGTGCTCTCAGGCACACCCGCTGCTCTCCCTTGCCGGGTCCCCCAGGGGCTGGCCTCTGCATCACACCTGGACGCCAGCACTCCCTCTGCAGACAAGGAAGCCGAGCCTGGAAAGAGAAATGTCTGGGCTCCCAGCATCATCGTGGGCATGCCAGTTCGTGGGTTATTTATTTCCATTCCGAAAGAATGATCAAAGGCACCCGATTTTCTTGCCTTAAAAATTCCAAGTTTCCGCCCTCCCTGGGGGTGCAATGGGTTAGAGTGTAGCACTGCAGGCTGGCCACAGCCTCTTCAGCGTGAGTTCGATCCCCACCCTGGAGCTGACCCACACGGCACAGCAGACCTCTCCTGACCCGCCTGCTGCTCCCCTCAGCAGTGTACCTCATCAATCTGCCTGTTCTCCCCACTCTGTCTCTGGTGAATCCTCTTATTGCCCTAGACCTCTGGCCTATACCCCAGTTCTGTATGCATAAATAAATCTTTTTTTAAAATTCCAAGTTTTTCCATCCCAGAGTTTTGGCTTGCCCTACAGAGAGGTAGGAAGTGGCTAGTCCGCTCACTGGCTGGGCTCACAAAACCAGCTCTGCATACATGTTCCAGAAGATTGAACCAGACTCTTCATTTGCTGCAGGGACATCCATGAGTACACCCCCCAGTGAAAGCACTGACCTCGCTTCTTTTGCAAGAAGCCACGCATTCCTCACAATCCAGACAATAAATGCCTGAAATGAGGCCATAAAATGGACCCCCAGACTTTCACTCAGGAAGTCTTCTCCATTCATTGTTTAACCCAAAAGTTGACTTTCTCAATAGTCTCTATCTTTCTGTCTCTCCCCCCTGCTCTCTGATGGCCTCATTTACTCTATTATAAGGACCAGATTTGCCTAGTTACAGAGTAGAATAGTAAGGAAAATCAAAGACCTAATAGAAGCGTTTTTAAGAAATCAATCAGTTTCAGACAGGATGAAAGGAATTCAGAAGCTTGCAGAGATATATGAATGGTAATTTCCCTTTACTTTCTAGTCCACTCATGCTACTATGAACCAAAAGCACAACTTGAACTGAACATATATTTCACTCATGACTAATTACAAAGCAGGCATTTCAAATCAGTGTTGAGCTAATGTTTTTAGAACAATTATTTAATTTTCAAGGTCCAATATCTGTCGAGTAAATCACCAATTTCCATTTCACTCTTATTTAATATAAAAAAATCTAATTAGTACAAAGCTGTTTCACAGCTGTCTTTAAACTGAAGCGTAGTTAGAGAATGCAGTGATCAGGCTTGCCTTGGCATCTCCAAGCCAAGCCTTCGTTTTGTTTATTAAAGAATAATACTGGGAGTTAATTTTATTGTGAAGCTTCAAACTGACCTTCATAATCTCTGATTTTAACTCATGACTTTTTATAAGAAACTAATATATATTGATATGTACTTTTCTAAGGATAAAGTCTGGCTGTAGAGCAGAGTATGAAATGTATTTTTTCTCTAGAGATTATTTATGCATGTAAGAGTTGGGTGTAGACCAGAGCTGTGTGTGGGGGGGGGGGGTGGGGGAGGGGTACGTGAGAGAGGATTCGCCAGAGACAGAGTGGGGACCAGAGCAGGCAGATCAGATCTGCTGAGGGAGCAGCGGGGAGACAGGAGAGGTCTGCTGCGCCATACGGGTCAGCTCCCTGGCCAGGGATGGAACTCAGGCCACATTGGCTGCAGACAGCTTCTTAGTGCTGCGTCTTAATCCCTTGCACCACCAGGGAACCCCCTGAAATGTATTACTTTCTAACCAACTTTTGACAAAAACTTTTAAGAATCACCAACTCAGCTATTAGTACATTTTTTGTTAGTCAGATTTTCTTGCATTAAGTAGAAAAATGGGTTTTCTAGTAGAAAACATAGACCTTCAAAAACCTGTATCTACTTTTGTAGTTATATATACATACATATATATAAAAAATATATATTTCAAATTGATAAAGCAAATATATTGTTAATGAATTATTATATAAAGTAACTAAGGGAAATTATCAGGAGTTAATTCTGAGTGGGTGAGGGAGGACTTGTAGGATTTCTGGTTTCTCTTTCACCTTCTGATAAAGTAACATATAATGATCGACCCTGATAGTTCTCTTAAACTCTTATACCCAGATACCTAAGCCTGAGACTTTCAGACAGTCCCACTCTTTGTTTTGTTTCCCTCTCCCTCAACATTAACTTGGGTCCACTTTGAGTCCAAAGCCTGCCTTGCCCCAAGGCAGACACTTCCAGGCTTTGAAAGCACTCTTCACCAATTCCTGAGATTTATACTCTGAAGAAAATCATCCTGGTGGCCTAGGGGTGTAAGTCTGACCACTGTCACTGCTAGCCCTGTCAAGGAGCTGACCTACAGGGCGCCGCTGACCTCTCCTGTCTTGTCCGCTGCTCCCCTCAGCACTGGATTTCAGTAGAGCTGCCTGTTCTGCTCCCTATTCTGTCTCTAATGAATCCTGTCACTCCCTAAACCTCTGGTGTGCACCCCAGTTCTATGAAAAAAGAAAAAATCATGCTTCCTTACAAAAGTCCTTTGCTGATATCTGCTCCTCCTCCTTTCTCCAGGGAGCTGCTTCTTCAGGACAGCCTGATTCTTCCACCAGTATCAAAAACAAACTGCTCGCCCCTTCTAGAGAGTACAGCACAGAGGAGGAGGATCATGGCCCAGCAAAGAAACAGAAGAGCAGAACCATGTTCCCTCAGAGCAGCTGTGTGCTCAGAGATAGATTGCAGAGCCAGAAAAGCCAGGGTTCTCAGCAGATGCGATAACCTTCTGACACTCTGAACCTTGGTTACAAACAAGAGCTGGTTCCAGAACCAAAAGATGTCATTTAGCAAGTGGCAGAAGAACAGCTGGCGGAAGAGAAAGACTGTGACTCAGCGCTTTACCCGCCCCTGCCACTAGGGGGCGCCCTTGGAAACTGCTGGGGAAAGCCTGTGACACGTACTGCCCAGAAAATCAGATCACTGCATGAGGTACTGTAGTCCGAGGAGTGTGAAGAGGGGTTCGTTAGTCCATCTCGGTGAGGCCGGTGGCTGCTACTTCTTCTTTTAGTTCTGGATCTGCCCCATGGCCTGCTTCTCATCAAGCTTATTGTGCCCTTCGCAGGGGCTGCGGATGGGACTGGAGTTTCATCAGGGGCTTTGGTAGGTCCATCAAACCATAATTTTAGGAAATAAGTTATTTTTACTAGTAAGATTTGACCTTACTGGCAACACCTGCCTATCCTAATGGAAGCAGTAAGTTTTTATGTTTATTTAATATTAAAGATCATAAAGTATTTTTTTTACATAACAAGGGCTTTGGGATAATAGAAAAATACAGTATTAAGTGAGTTTGAAGTTAAATATAAATATATATTATCTACACCATGTCTTTTTGTGAATGAGCTTTGTCCTTAGATGTATCTTTTTCACTCCTTTTCTTCTGTTTTTCTTCTGCTTGTTTGTCAAAATAATCTTTAAGGAGTTGGTTCAGCTGTGGCTCAATCTGGTTTGCATGTTGTAATCCATCTTCCCTTCCTTAAAAAGACAAAATGTGAAATAGTAGATTTTATTATTTATTTTTTAAGATTTATTTTATGTTTATGCATATAAGAACTGGGCTACTGGCCAGAGGTGCAGGGGGTGAGAGGATTCACCAGAGAGAGTGGGGACAACAGGCAGATCTACTGAAATCCACTGCTGAGGGGAGCAGCCGAGAGACAGGAGAGCTCTGCTGTGCCATGTGGGTCAGCCCCCTGGTCAGGGAACAAGCTTGTGCTTGAGTGGCTGCTGATACCTTCACAGCCCTGAGACTTTAACTCCTTGCACCACCAGGGAGGCCCAAAACAGTGGATTTTATAGTGGCCCCAAATTATCATTTCAGTCACCTTCCACAGTGGCAGATTCAGAACTGTTTCCTACTGGAATCACCACAGACACTGACAAGCCCCCCCTCCCCCAGTATACTTGAATGAAAGCATTTTTATTTACCTTCACAATGTTGGATCACACGTCCCCACAGTCGGTTTTTCCTCAGGCAGGCTAAATTCCCCACTATCAGCAAGTGCCTCCTTCCTCTGGTCAAGGCAACATTCATTCTTTTTTCTGAATCAATGAATCCGACCTGCTGAGTCCTTACACAGGACAGAATAATCACCTCCTTTTCAGCTCCCTGAAATGCATCCACTGTGGACACCTGCACGGCTTTAATATCAGGATGGTCAAAGTCCCCGACGCTGAGTAGGTGACACAGCTGTGGAGGAAGGAGACAAGGGTGAGGCAGTGCAGGGCCCTGAGGAAGAAGCCTGGGCCGGCTCCTTGCGGCCATTTGCACCTTAGTCACAGTTCAGCATTTCACTTGAGCTTTCACTTTCTGCATTATGACCCAACATAGCTTCAACTAGTTGAGCTAATTTCTAAAAATGATGAAAAGTTACATTACAACATTAGTCATGAAACCCACTAAAAAGCACTGATTTACTAACTCCTAGGCAAATCACTTGACTATGCAAATTCAGAGTTGACAATAAGCTACTGATAAAAAAAAATAGTAAAAATAAAAGTAAAGACTAGTTAGAAGTAATTGGTTTATGTGTACATTAGTATCTGGTATCTATCTTTGATTTCCTGGTAAAATGTAATAATAATGAAGTAACATTCTGGAAAACAGATTCAATCCCATCTGTCCCAAAACACAAAGCATACGCCATATTGTCTTCCCTCTAATTTGTTTATTTGCATTTTTGCCCCAACAGCTGTAAACGGAATTTAATTCAAGCTTGTTAGGTTTACATTTAATTATACAGAAAAAAAGCCAGACCAGACAAAAATCAGGACATTTCCGTTTTAATATGTTAACTATAGTCCCCCAAGTTTTTCCAGCACCAGCTAAGCACGGGGAAGCAACTACAGCGGCCATCAGATGCTGTAACATTGTAACGTGTAATATGTGCGTGTCTCACACACCCGGTGCATCTGGGACTTGTATAATGTTATCACCCCAATCAGCGCGCCCGCTATTCCGCTGGCAACCAGTGATTGAATCAGCTTGAGTGTAAACGCAGCTTCTGCCACATTATGAAAGCTGTTATCTCTTTCAATCTGGAATGAAAAACAGATCCTAAGTTATATTTCCCAGAAAGGTGACGGAAAGACCCGCAGAATCGCCCAAACAGCAGCAGGAAGAATGAAGCCAGGCACCCGAGCCAGGCCAACGCCGGCGTGAGGCCGTGCACCTGCTCCAGCCCCAGGACGTTATAGAAGCACAGGCTGGGCAGCCACCCCAGCAGGGGGCTCCGCTCCGCCTCCGACACCCCGTCCACCAGGCGTCCTTCGTAGAACAGGTCGTTAGCAACAGCACTAATCGTGGGGTGACACCGGTACTGGGTTCTCAACAGCACTGGCTTGTGACCCTAGGAAACGGAAATACAGACAGCGGAGAGATGAAACAGCATTTTTTTGTCCATAGGGGAAGAAAATAACATTTAAAAATTTTTTGAATGCTGCTGCAGTGAACCCTAGGAAATGAATTGTATCACGGTAACATAGAGTATCAAAATGATTCCTTAAGAAGTTACTAAGATATTTGCATAGCGCATGGTCACTACACTGCCACTGAGCCATTTTCTCTAAAATGATGTTTTGTGTCAGGTGAATTTCACCTCGACAAAAAGCTTCTCAATTAAGTTTTTTTTTTGAAGTGTTAATGTGAAGTAGAGCTGGTTTCGGGGACAGGAAATCAGAGATGATAGGGGTTTTTGTGATTAATTTTAGAGCAAAGGCAACATACTTGCAACCCATGAGGACTGACGACAACCTGATTCTTTTTTTTAAAGTGGACACTTAAGCAGCAGGATTTGTTGATCTTTAAGCTTAGTGCTTTCTAAAGCAACGCCAATGAAAATTATTTTAAGGCAGCTACTAGGCCTTCTAATAGTTTTACTTTGTATCAGCCTACTCCGTGGATAGCCAGTGAGTGATGCGTCTGTGTAAAATCCACAGTAGTACCATCAAGCAAAGTCGATCAAAAAGAGTCTGTTCCAGTCCACTTTCATGAGCTGCATCAGAGCCTTGAATAGTAGGAGGGAGCTGCCTAGGATCTCCAACAAGGATCAGCTTTTCACACCCAAATCTGAAAACAGAACTTCAAAAATTAATGTAAGCACGGAAAAAAAAAGTTTGTGTTGACACCAGTTACTGCTCTGTATTCCAAAGTGCATCTCAAACCTCAAAATACCAAAAAAGCATTCTCAGAACTAAGAAGACTTAACAGTGCTAATGAGTTATTCAAAGCCTTTGAACAGCTACACAGTAAAAAAAAAATCTTTATTCCCCCCTGCTATTTGGGTAACGCCACTGTGTATGACTTCGGGGTCTAGGTCAACACGTCATCAGAGGCTACCACCCCACCCAAGCACTCACGTCCTCATAAGGGGTCCTTTCTCCACATAAATCCCTCACAGTGACTAGAACACGCTTTGGGAAACAATGATTTTAAAAATCTGTAAACTCACAGAATTAGAGCTTTCAGAGACTTCATTTGGCTTCACTTATGCATGTAAATTAGGCCCTAGAGGCTAGAGGATACAGTCGGGCAAAGTCCAAGCTTTAGAAACACCTGCATCAGACCTCCGCTCTGCTCTCGGTGACAGCAAGTCACTGCGTCTCTGCAAGCTTCAGTATTCTGCTCAGTCACCGGATGGGCGCAGCTGCCGTGGCTGTTAGTTCACAGCAGCGAGGCCCCAGGATCACCCCTCACCCTCTGCAGGGCTGCCCCACTCCAGTCCCTTCTGGTCTACCCTAGGCTCCAAGGCAGTCGGGGCCCCGCCTCCCCCTCGGCTGGGGACAGAGCAAGGACCAGCGCCGGGGCCTGCGCCTGCCCCAGGAGTGTCTGCACGGCTGTGGGGCTCCTCAGTGGATGTCTGGAGCAAGAAGCTCCAAGTGAGCGGGAGAGCAGAGGACATTTTGGTCTTCTCAGTGGCATAAACAACATTCCATTTTCAACTTGTTTCTCTTCATTTACTTTGTATTCTTTCATAAAATGAAAATTATTTTCAGCAACTATCAGTGACATTAAAATCAAGGCCAGGACTCTCAAGAATATTCTTCAGCAGGGTTGGGTCCTGCAACTCTGAGTTGGCCAGAAACCCTCGACTACCTTGAGAAGGTATCTGCCAGGCTCTAGCAGGATCCTTGTTCGGAGCTATCAAGGATCATGTAATCTGAGCATCTATATGTGATCTAACATGTGATATGGCAACACCCCAGATGACCATCATTCTTTAAAAAAATCAGTTCAATACTTGAGTTGCCCGACAGATGGAAGTGAGGAAATGTTCGAGAGAAGAGTCTGCAGTCTACCTGGCAACGGGAAGGAGAGAGGTGGGTTCAGTCATCTGACTGCATTCATCGAGCACGACGACCGGAAACGTGAGCTCGTTCATGCACGGAAAGGGGCAGGCTGCGCAGGTCACCCCGACTACTCGGACCTTTATTACAACATTATTAGTGAACAACTATTAAAAAGGTAAGAGGATGTACTTATCAAACGACCTGTCTGCGCACCTTCGTGGAATCTAAGCTGTCTTGGTCATTTACCCATGTGCAGCAGTAACAGGGATCTGGGCCCTCCCTGGTGGCCTAGGGGTTAAGTCTCAGCACGATCACCACTAAGGCCTGAGTTCGATCCCGGCCAGGGAGCTGACCCACAGGGCACACCAGACTTCTCCTGGCCCGCCACTGCTCCCCTCGGCAAAGTATCTCCATGGATCCGCCTGTTCTGCTCTGCTCCCCACTCTGTCTCTGGTGAATCCTCTCACCCCCACAGCTCTGGCCTGTATCCCGCTCTTCTATCCAATAAATAAATATGCAACAGGGACTGAACAGCACAGTGGTGAACCCGCTCAGCGCTGCCTTGCCTGCTTCAGCAGGGCCCTGTTGGTGCCCAGTTTGTGCTGCTCGATGCTCTTCCTCACACAGATTCTCTCCGCGGGCGTCAGGTCTTCTTTCATCAATGCGTGTAGCTCTTTTAATTGTTCGTTCTCATTTTCTGAGCCAGCATGCAGGCTGAAAAAAAATGACTCCATAAGGAAGACACCTCTTTCCTCCATTTTTCATGACATCACAACAGACTAAAATAGACATTTTCTAAGTTCAGTGAGAAGAAGACAGGCTTTCTCTACTAGTCCTCAAAATTTTACCTGAAATTCCAATTTTAGGTAAGAGTGAGACAGAATTATTGTAATTCTGTGAACATTCTGTGCTTCTGGAAGTTAGTGTTCTTACCTGTAAGGTAAAATTGGCTTGGCGATCTTCCTGATACTTCCGACTCGGACAAACTTTTCAAAGCCAAGACTGAGAAGCCTTTGAAGAAACCAAGGTAAGATTCTGATTTACAAAATTAGTTCTGATTGAGAAAGAAGAGTATAAAAAAACTTCATACAGTATATAGGTAATTTTAAAAAGGTGTATGATAATTACTTTGTAGCTGTGTCATTCAGTGTAAAATGCCTAGAATCAAAGTAAATACAATAGACCTGATATTTTATCATTTGACGTCTTTTATGGAGAATTTAAAACTATGCGTTATCTTATGTGGAAGGCTCTTTAAATGTTTATAAAATGCAATGTTAGTATTTATCACAAGCAAAATAGTTCCCAAATACACAGTAGTAGAAAGCCAGAATTACCATATATGTGGCATGTATGTACATAAGGGAGAGTGTGACTCTCTTTACACACGTTCTCATTTAATAGTCCTGCACAGCGTCTCCTTGTAGTGATAACACTGAAACTCAGACCTCACATACTGCCGAGATCGCATAGCTAACAATGGGTGGCCAGTTGGTTTGTCTGGGACGTCCATGACGTCTTCTCCATCCACACCCCCAGTGAGGGCAGTATGAAGAAGCCCTCGCCTGTAAGATCGATTCCTCTTTGAGTCTTAACAGTTCGAGTGCTAAACCAGGAACAGAGCAGGAATTCAGTGAGCAACCAGTCCTCCACCTCACCCTGGGGTTTAAAGAAACTACCCAATACATGAATAGATTCCAACTTTTGCATCTGGTATAGTTCTTGTCTTGGGGGACAGTCAGCTACCTTTTAGTCTGAACTACTAGACTCTCTTTCAATGCAAGTTTGTGTGGATTCTCTGAGAACGGAGGATGCAGTGCCTCACTCTCAAACTGCCCTGTCCTGGCCTCTGCGGGGACACACTGCCCCAGGGCACAGCCGTTATTCTGCCTGCTAGCAGAGTGGGAGGCACCAGCCTCTGTGTAGCTGAGGCATTGAGCCAACTATGCCCTTATCTGGCACCTTCCAGTATTCTGCACTTTCCTCTTCATTCTTCTGTTTTTTTTTTTTCTTTTCTAATAGTCTACAGTTAAATTGTCGTCTCAGGCTAAGCAATCCAAAGTGCTTTCTAGTTTAGGCTCCGGGCTACTCCTCATTGTCTTGCATTGCTCATGCACATTTCTAAGTTGTGTATAATTAAAGTAAAAACTAAAGCTGCAATAAACATC